TAAGGCTCTAACCCAAGTTTTAAAAAGCACATTGTGCATATAAAAGTTGAGTTTATACTAATAGTACACAATGCTTAGCAGCATGAACGGCTATGTACAATGGCGTATACGATCAGATACTAAAACGTCATAGCTTTGAAAAGTACCCGGATGTTAAATATGTTCGTTCGTTAATTATTCCCCTCCATGAATGGCCTCCATGGCAAGCACTTCAAATGCCTATCCAAACTACAGTTATAATTAAACAAAATTAAACCACTGCAATATTATTTCGAATACAGTTTAGAATATATACAACTATAAATTAAGGCCGCATTTAGGTTCGCTTTAATTTTCACACAGAATCTTAAATAATGATTCACAGAAATCTTTTGGACAAAATGAAATCATCAAATCATGAAAGTAGTTTTATGATAAGAGTTCTTCAGAGCTCCCTCACCCATAACCCTGCCCCTCCATGTTTTAATTGTGCATGCCCCTCTTCAGAACATCTTGAGGAGAATATACAATTGCATTTAAGTGCCCAAATCATAAACATTTCCATATAAAAAAACACATCAATCAAAGTAATTTAATCCAGATTCCCAGGAAAAGCTTACCTTAAAAACAGTTTTATAAATCTCCAATATACGGTTACAATCAGTTATATTGTTCTTGGAAATGACAGAACTTAATACATCATTCATGGCCAATAATCTTACACCAATAAGGTTTGCATTAATCCTTGCAATGCCAATACCTCTCTGAGCATCTGCTACCATTTGCCATGATGCAGAATAAAGAACCTGAGGAAAAAGCATGCATTAAAATTCAGAAATAGAAACCTCTTTAATCTGAAATAAAATTTTATAGCAGTAAGCATTTAACTGGGTTCCCTGTAACTTCACATCATTTCTGTCTGAATATCCGTAACCCTGTGAATGGCAGAAATAAAACAACAAATTTTTGCTGCAACATTTTGATCCTATTAGCTACAGGCCTTAAAGAACAATTTTGAAAAACAAACTGCAAAAATTGACACAAGTCTTAAAAAACGCAACAAAGATTTGACTTTCAGGTTCAAAAATGGGAGCTTCCTAACTTGTACAAGGACACAACATAGATAATTGTGTATATTAAAAAAAAGTATTTTTTATTGTTTTATTTTTATTGGAAGCATGGGTGAAGAAAATTTTCAAATATATTCCCCAACCAATGCAACAAAGATGGATGATTTTAGGATAAGATAATTTTAATACTTCATCAATATCTACAATATAAACATTTACAAATGAATGAGTAATTATTGTGATGACTTCATTTGCATACAATTCCCTAGTGGCTGTTTTGAATCATAATTAAGCCTGTTGAATTACAGCATATTTTTTTCTAATATCAATAATTACAATATAAATATTTCCAAATGGGGAAAAAAATGATTATCTTACGGCATATGCAGTATCTGACGGTTCAAGCACAACATCAGCCATAAATCTATTTATTATCCATTTCAAAATGTTCTCCTGCAAAAAAAGATATAAATGATCAGTAAAACAATAGACCATATACATTGCCCTCATGTATATGTATATGTATATATATATATCAAACTTTCAAACTTGGGGAAGTGTGGTAATATTTATTATCACTGAACTATGGAGCGATAATTCACGAGGTATGTAAGGTACCAAGAGTGGGCTGCACAATCAAAAAGAAAAGAGATAGCAAACGCAGACCACAGTTTTCATGTAAAGGTACCAAGAAAAGTTACAAGTGTGACAAATTGGACTAATAATTGAAGCTGTGGTAGTCCTTCACAAGAACTTGTATTATTTTATTGAAACATTTCTGTTTATAGTTTCTTTATGAGTGGTAATTTGTGAAATGGAAAACAAGTGTAGGCTATTATCACTCAAGTTTTATCATTGAGAATATTCATTACTAGTTAGTTCACTTGTTCTAAAAAAAAAAGCAGTATGAAAAATATCAAGTAGATCTGTACCAAAATTCAAAAAATAATAATACATATTTAAGAAAAATACTCCAATTAATACTATATGTACTGTGTTAATCTCAATGACTCTTATAGAATAATATAACATGAATTGCATAAATGTTTCCATGTAATATGGTAGTAACAAATGAAAAAAATGAAATTCGGGCCAGATTTGAAAAACTACACTGCATCTGTCACTTTTCTTATTCACATTTTGTGATTGACAGATGTTGGAAAGCTTATTGCTAAAATCTGGTTCTCATTATCAGTAGTATAAATGCCTTGATTCTGTCGACTTATATAGAATGTTTTACTTCAGCCAATATTTCCAAATTGAATTTAGTTGACTTTTCATAGTGATTCACTAACATTAAATTGCATGGTCATATCTAAGTACAAGTATCTCACCATAAACAAGTTGTTTTCTTTCTAAAATAAGTATCATTCGAACACATAACAGTTATCTGTTCTTTTTTAGACCATGCTTTATGAGAAAACACAAATCTTTATGCTTTCCAAGTGGCTGCTCAGGCTCTTAGTCACAAACAGGTATGTTAACATATGAATGGCTGTCTATTTTATTTTATTCTGATCTTTTTCACTATTGTTCCAATCATCTTTATGCTTTCCAAGTGGCTGCTCAGGCTCTTAGTCACAAACAGGTATGTTAACATATGAATGGCTGTCT